TGGCAGGTGGAGTTAAGGTCTTTGCCGACGGACACTGCTTTACGCTGACTGAAGCCTTGCTGTGAAACGTTTCTCAGAAACAAACTGACAGGGATTGGAATATACCAGCCAGTAGACGCAGTCCAGCAGTAATCTCGGTTCCGTTCAATCCTACGCACCCTGCGAACTCCTGCGCTGAATATAATCATCTATGCTTCGAACACCAATGTCAAACATGGCCAAGACCTGTGACTAAAATTGACCTCAACTTAAGTTGGACTCGCAAGGAAATTCCTCGGACGTCGCTCAGTGGTACACACGGGCATCCCGGTCTGATCACAGAAACAACGTTACCCACCGCTCGACCTGCACAGTCAAATAACATTGCTTTGGCAAAACTGACGCTGAAGATCTGACTCGAGAAATGTTTGTGTCAAAGTGACACCCAGTCGTTTGGGTCAAAACAGATGACATGATCGAACAGATCAAACTTTTTACCGCAGGTTCTGTGGGGGAAACAGTCACATCGGTTCTACAAACTGGGGCGTCTGGCGGATCACCAGAATCCTACCGAATCTGCGCATTATTTCGATTGCTCTGTGCTGTTTAAATCTGCGCATCTTGAGACTGCCACGGGAAAACATACGCCAAGAGGCAAGAAGACCTTTTCTGAAATAGTTGTCTGCAGCTTCTCCTTGAGAAATCCCACAAAAGAACAGCTTCGCAGTTACCTTTTGTTGGAGTGAATGAAGGAAGCAGTGTTTTCCAATGGGCTGACCACTTCAGACCAATTCAGACACCAAAAGGGTCACTGGTGTAACTTCGTCAGCGGTAAGACATTTGCGCTGTCATTTTTTGCATAAGTGGAATTTACAATGGAGGTAAATGACTCATCAAACCCTTATATCGGAAATTTATTGGCACTTTCAGTAGGTTTAAGGGTAAGTTTAACAGTGATTAATGTCCTCATTGGTTTGGTCTACCTTTGGATCATCCTGTCGGTAGCAGTCTGTCGCCAACTCCAGAATCATTCCAATTATTTCCTGGTCAGTTTATACGTTAATGGCTGTTTGATCTGCTTGGTGACGGCAATAGTAATCGGCTTGACTGATCTAAACGCTCGCATCAAGAAACACGTTGTATTGCTAGAGGTGGCATCAATGTTTGCCTTTTCCACAGGCTACTTCTTGAACTCCTCAATCATTGCAGCCGAAAGATATTTCAAAATAGCACATCCATTGAAATACGTACACTTCATGTCCAATAAACTGTGCGTGTGCATTATTCTGGTCGCGTGGGGAGTTTCACTCGTTTCTGGCACCGGGTTATACTTTGGCAGCATGGGCATGTTCAAAGAGAGATTCTTTTCAATACTGTATATTTTCAGCAACCCTTACTTGTTGAAGTTAGCGACCATACTGATGGATATCGTTCTAATTCCATGTATGGTTTTCATTACAGTATCTGTCATAGGCACTGTAACCATCGCCAGAAATCAACAGCGTAAAATACAAGCAGAGAGAATTAATCTCGGGAACATTGCTGCCGATAACCACGCCCACAACAATAATCAGGAACCTCGCCACCAGGCGCGCCCATCCAAATCAACCTGGTATTCATGTGTCTACTTCACGACAATTATCATGGCTTGGGCACCCTCAGTCGTATTAACGAACCTGTTATCATTCCAAGTAACGACTTATAATGGTGTTTTGGTTTTACTGTACATTTTCGGCGGCGTGGGTGTGCTACAAATGGTCTCGGGGGCGCTGTTCCTAACGTATACACAAAAGGACCACCGGTTGGTCCTGCGTAATGCATTCAGAGCTATCATGAACTTGGTTGTACGTAAGTAAAATATACTTGGTTCTTCGATTTTCAAAAAAGGTCGACATTTATGTTGCTTGTGTGCTCCCTGCAAAAAATTCAAATCACCCGGTATATCTTTAAGGAAAAATCTGCCACAAATTCAAGCTCTGTTATAAAATTAAAATGAATCGCATCACGGTTCAACGAGGAAATCCCTGGCCGCATTTGGCAAGAGACTGATTTGCACGCAGGCGAAACAGGAAAGATTCACACTAGGGTTGTGTTTTATTCTGGCTGCGGCTAGCTAGAAGCACACGTGTCTTTGGAATATGGCTTCAGCCGCCAACAAGTGGCTTTCCATAGGCTTCTATGCTGTACATTGTATACTCCTAGCCACAGCCATAACAGCTGGGACTCTACATGTATGTGATGCAACTAATTCATTGGGTCTTTGTGATCTTTAACGTATGCCGATACAATGTCCATCAGACCAAGTCGCACTTATTAGACACGGATATGGGGTAACTCTGGTAATGTTTACGTCCTGAGAATGGCAGCTGACGCGCTTCGCTTCCCTAATTTTCAGCGAACCAAGTTGGGAACTGTCATTATCAAGTAATATCTATCTTGACAGCTTTGGTTTGGTGTAATTAATTGATGGATTGCAATTAAAACCGGTCTCGGGAAGCCTGCCGAACTTCACTGCCATTAACGAATTGGTGAATAAACATCAGTCAGGCAAGTGATTAAAGGCCACAGCGACATGGTCCGTATGCCAGCCTTTGGAGATGATGCAACCACTAGATGACTACCACCGACGGGATAAAGTACTGGAAAGCGTGACTCGTTCCTGCAAAGAGCTGTTTCAAGTTGACTTGCTGCAGATTACTGCTGAGAAAGTGAACGCTTCCCTTCCGTGGAATAGGGAAGAAAGACTTCAATATACGGGAAGTGGAGTGAACAAACTGGGGAGCATTCACACTTAAGACAGGCAGAACTGCCAAAGCTCGATGAGCTGTGGAATGGGACAGTTGTTTGGATGGAAGAACAGGACAGAAGTCAACTGACAGTTCGTGCCAAATTTGGTGGAAGATATTGACTGGAGTATCACAGACATCTTAAATGGGTCTCATGACTGGTTGATGCTCAACCTATCGCAAAGTGGTGTTAAAGTTGACGGAACTATTGTCCCATCGACAGACACAGCTTCACGCTGAAACAAAAAAGTCTTGCTTTGAAACTTTTCTCTGAGTGACACGTTTAGAGTGTGCAAAGGACAGGTGTTTAAATAAAAAACATGAAGATGTCAGAGATTGAAACAACACCGGCGAGTAGACGCCATTGAGCAGTAATTTAGGTGATACGAGATAGCGAAGACTCAAGTAGAACTCAACTTGGTCTCACAAGCAAATTCCTCAGACACCGCTTAGTAGGACGAATGGGTGTCCCAGTCTGATCACAGAAACAACGTTCCCCACCGCTCTCCACCTGCTCACTGAAATACCATTGCTCCGGCAACACCGACATTTCAGATCTGACTTAAGACGTGTTTGTCTCAAAGTGAGACCCAAACGTTTGGTCAAAACAAGATCACATGATCAAACGGATCAATTTTTTATCGCTGGAAATCCTATCCAGGGCTTTGGAAACAGCCCTACAAACTGGGCCGTGGAAAAATGGCCAAGAAGACTTCTTTTCTGAATGAAAAAGACCCAGAAAAAGCCACAGCAGATGAAGAGCTTCGGAATCACTTTTGTTGGAGTACGGTAAAGGAAGAATCCGAAGGGTCGCTGGTGTACATATTTCTGGTATAAGGCATCTCATGACATTACTCTCTTCACCGGGGAAATTGAAATGGAGTTCAACGACTCATCGGGCGCTGGTAATTCTGTGACACTTTCAGTAGGAGCTAGGGTGGGTTTATCTGCGGTAAATGCTGCCCTCTGTCTCGTCTACCTTTGGGTCATCCTCTCGGTAGCCGTCTGTCGCCAACTCAGGAATCACTCCAATTATTTCCTGGTCAGTCTGTACGTTAATGAGTGTTTGATCTGCTTGTTGGCGGCAGTAACCATCAACACGACCAATTCAACAATTCCCACAAGCGAGATTATTTTATTCCTCTCTTTTGTTTCTTTCATGGCGTGCTGCGCATGCTACTTCTTCAATTCTACAATGATTGCGGCCGACCGGTATTTTAAAATAGCGAATCCAATGAAGTACGTACGCTTCATGTCTGACAAATTATGTGTCTGCGTCATTCTGGTTGTTTGGGGCGTCTCACTCATATTTGGTATTGGACTGTACTTCGGCATTTTGGGCACAGCTAAACAGGATTTAATTTCTATAATAGATGTCTTTAACAACCGCCACTTGTTGACATTATCGGCTATACTGATGGACTCTGTTGTAATTCCATGCATGGTTTTAATTACGGTGTCCTTTATTGGGCTATTGATCATTGCCAGAAATCAACAGCGTAAAATAAAAGCCGAGAGAATTAACCTCGGCAACATTGCTGCCGATAACCACGATCACATCAATAATCAGCAGCAACCCCAGAATGTGCGCACATCCAAATTAACCTGGTACTCGTGCGCCTACTGCGCTACAATTATCATGGGCTGGGTACCGTCTGTCATTGTTTTGAACCTAATAGCATTGGGGACAACGACTGTTCAAGAAGCTTGGGTCCCTGTGCTCATTTTAGGCAGCGCGTCCATGTTGCAAATGGTCTCAGGGGCGTTGTTTCTGACTTACACACAGAAGGACCACCGATTGGTCCTTCGCAATGCTTACAAATCAATAGTGAACTTGCTCACACGCCAGTAATGCATTTTGAAACATCACATAATTTTCGCACAATTGCTGAGTGTGCCGTCATAAGTCCTGACTGACACTGTGCGTGGATCTCAAGACCTGCAGCGTCTCGTATTATTTTATCTTTCTTTCTCGTGAATTTGCCTCTCCTTGTGCAATTCACGATGAGCGCAAACCGGACTTATGGGAAAAAAATAGTACGGTACATATGGCGGTCCAACGGGAGTCTTGTCAAGCATTACGCAACTTGTGAATGGGACTTTACAGCATTTACTGTCACTAGGTGTAGCGGAAATCACACGGAATCTGGTTCGGCCAGTTTGGCATGGTCGGGGGGCACTGCGCTGCGCTAGGTGCTTTCGTGGGCGTGGTTACCTGGACATCTTTTAACTTACCCTGGCCTTGATTAGAGCTGGTCAATATTCGACTATCCTCCACCTTCTCGGCCATCTTCTGTCTCAGTAGCGGTGCCACCTGCTGCAGGAGAAGGTAACTAGCGATATCTGGACAAGCAAATTATTAAGGAGTCAAATATTCCTGTTGTCCAGAATGAAAAAAGTAACCTAGGCCTACCATACACTGTGAAACTCCTTTTTTCAAAATTTTAGTCCAATCAAACCTGACAAGGGAATTACGCGGAACTCGGTGAACAAATTGTCAAAAAAATCACATTTTTCTCACTCGAAAATGTTAAAGTTTGCCGACTTCCTCAGTAGTCTCAATAAGGTAGTGCCATCTTTAAGCCTGCTGTATCTCATTCTATAACATTAGTTCATGGAGTAGATTAATATCTTTTCTTAGACTTAAGATGTCGTGTGGATTGTCCCTACTTGCATGTGCATGATACATCCCAATCTTTGAATTTGGCCAGGCCTCGAGTTTAGCTTGTGGGTTTTGCTCTTTTTTGTCATGTGGAGATATGCCTACTATAGGCTAAATATGTAAATTCTGTCTGTGACGTAAATAACATACTTTCAGGAAAATGTGAATTCCAAGCTTGACTTATTCTCAATTAAGAAAAGAGTAGTGTTGTATCCCGATGTAGCCTACTTTACTGCCTGGTAGATTAGTAAATGTAAGGGTCTGTTTATTTTTATACTGATCTGGATTTTGATGGGTGGTCCCACTGCTGGTTTGCTCCGCCCATTTAGCAGGACCTGGATTACTGATCGAAATCCCGATCGGTGTCAAACAAACAGATCCCATGAGACAGTTTGGTATTCCGACAGCGCATGTCCAATATGATTACCCCTAGGTAATTCAGGCATACCACGCGCACGTGAGGTCTGCCTTGTCAGCAGGGCCATGTCGGACTCGCGCATATGCTCTGTTCTCAAATGGCCTGGGCTGTTTGAAAACCCAAACCGGCTCATTCTTGTATATTTCTCATTTTTGACATAAAGGTATTTTCGGTGGAGGATCTCGCCACTTATCAATCAATTAGATTGCAGAAGGATTTTGTTTATACTTTACTGATGTCTTGGTTTATGGAAAAACAATTGTAAATGTCTGAACAGATTCAGTGCTGGTATTGTAAAAGATTGCATTCAAACAAACCTATTATGACATACCATTTATTCATGGTAACTGCAAGTCTTAATGTTATTAAACGGCAGTCGACTGTTAAGGCTGTTGTTTTCACACTTGAATTTTCACATTTTAGTCGATGCAGTTTTGTGCAGTAAGTGTCCATAAATAACAATTGTTGACTATTGCAATGTGGGGCATGACTATTTTTCATATCCAGGGACACATCCTCAAAGCAATAAACAACTCTTTTAGCCAATCATACCAAAATGTCCAGAAGGTAAAAGTCTGTGCCTTACTTGAATGAAATGAATGAAAATTGGTGCAACGTAATCTTTTTAATTGCTGGGAGATTTTCTGACAGATGTAATCCTTGCGCTGCATATGTTGTGCCTTTGTGATGCAAATGATAGTAAGTGCACTTCTATCATGATGATTTTTACTAATCTGATGTGATCTTTATCAATAAATGAAATAACCATAAATCAAGAGGCAGTGATGAACGCAACAGATATATGCGAATGGCAAACTGTAAACTGTTATTAAATTATTTAAACTCTTGCAAATAAAGAGATATTTGAGGGAATAAAAAAGTTTCAATGCCGTAACTAGTACTGCCTATGTGATATTTGTTAGATGTATTGCATTAAAACAAGTTTCAATTGCGTAAAAGGCAACAGGGGAGTATTTGTGTTTGGTTTTTGCAGGTTTTGATGCTCTGGTGGTTAAAGATATGCAAAGTTCCCCCAGGACTCCAAAGGCTTTTTCATGACATTACTATCCCAGACTGCCTAGCTTACAATTGCTTCTGAGCTTATCTCCGCTCTCTTGGGGGATAGATTGAGCGATTTGCTGCCACTATGGGGTCCTTCGGGTGGAAATAAAACAAGTCTTTGCCTTGCTTAGGGTCTCAATTGCGGTATGCTAACCAAATACACTGAGCACTGGCGCCCTCTTGGTGAAATCAACAATATGGGACACACACACGTGACGCTACTTTGACCTTTTCTGAAAACCAAATTCCATGACTTTTACAAGACTAATATGAGACTATTTCCCTGGCATTAAGCACTTTTGTGCTGAAAAGTTGTTCAGTGTTGAACTGGATGACTACCAATCCTGTAAACTAACAAATCATTATTTTGTAATTACATCATAAGTGGTCCATCAGAAATAACCCTTGCACGACCTTGATTTCCATGACTTTTGCCTCTACCAAAAGAATTCAAGGACATACTTTTTATTCCCAATATCCCATGACTTTTCTACGACTTTCCAGAGCAATGTTTTCCCTTGGATTTTCCATTACCGTGGGACATAAAATAGCCCCCAGTGGAATGCAAAACCCCAAATGTGACATCAAGGATACGGGACAGCCGCATGATGGCTACCTTAGCCCCCTCGCTGCAGTGGGCTTGGGCCTCGGCAAACAGACGATGTCGCAGCTTCTCGTTGGCGAGAGGTGACATGGCATCCACTGCCTCGCTGAATTCCTTCTCGTTCATCAGGCCCAGCTCTTTGCCAGGCCTCTGTAACAACTTGCTTTCAATCTGAGATGAGCAAAATGAAAGCGAATCACCTCTGAGGAAGCTGTTTGCAACATCAAAGCGTTTACAAAATTATTTGAAAGCCAAGCGCAAAATAGTAGCCAAAGAGCTAAAAAGTCCAGAGACTTCCACAGGAAATTCCAAACTTACGTCCTGGAATCTGGGTTCTCGGTACTTGAGGATGATGTACATTAAGTACTCGCAGACCAGGGCCTTGGAGACCTTGTTCTCGCTGAAGGATGTGTAGCCAAGATGCAGCTGGTCGATGTCGTCCTCCTAGTAACCATGGCAACAAGAGGAGGCAGGAAGACGAAAGACAAATGAAGATGAGACTATCGATACAATGCAGGTCAGGGTCTCCAAACACAAGGGCTGCCCAGCCGTCTTCAAATTTATACCTGTGGCTAGAAATAACATGGGGCCCTACTGCAGACACTGGCTTGCGGCTATAGGCCTTTAGCACTTAGTAGCCATAGCCGCAACTTTGGAAACATTTTGATTATTGCTTTCTGGAGTACATCGGCTGATCATTGCATGAAAATTACATGACACCATTTTCAGTAAATCTTTTGAGGGCTGAGGTCGTGTCCCAAAGTCTTAGCCGCAACTATGGATGCTAGTGGCTCTCAGGAGAGCAAACGTTTTTATTGGTTCCAGCACAAATTGGGCTACCAAAGCGCTGACACCAGGCAAAGCTGTCTAAACTTACATTTAAGAATGGATAGATGGCCGTAGCAAATGCCTTGAAGTCCTCCACATATTGCCAGTCAACTCGATCGATCAGATCGCTGATGACGAGGAGATATCGGAAGACGGTGGCATCCAAGTTGCCGACAAGGACCTGTGCGAAGATCTGAACAGCCTGCAGAGAAGGAAGTTGGTCAGAGGACGTATCAGTCAATCCAATAGTTCAAATAATCCCCCAACTCATTCAAACAAAAAATGACATTGACCACTTCTGATTTATCAAAGTGATAATTGATAAATGGATCGATTGACTGCATTGAGAAGCAATACATCGCTTGTGCACAGTCTGTACATGAAATGTCTCTCTTCTCGGCAAAAAGCATCAAATCCATCACTCTGTAGTGTGACCGATCAATACTACGACATATTGAATATTTTCAAATTGGGAATGACCGAGAAACCAAAAATCCAAACGAACCAGAGTGGATCCGTACATAAACTCACCTTATTCAGAGCAGAATAGTCAGTGAGAGCTGAGATGAAATCATACGCGCACAAGTACATGACGTCTTGCAGAATGTAGCGATCCGCCATGTAGTTGTAGAAACCGTTCTGTTTGATGAAGTGGAAGAGATAACAAAGGATGCGGCACCAAAATCAACCATTCAAATGAATTCTAAGAGTCTGTAGTAGCTAAAGGAATCAAGAATTTCAAGGATAACGCCGTCAATGTATAACACTCTAGGCATCACTTTAAAAACACATCTGACTTAATTCATTCTGTGCAAATCCAAGTTTTGAAATTTGAAATATTTGATTTGTTTCATTTGAAACAAAGGTTTGCAAGCTGAAAGTAAAAAAGACTAAAAGAAGTAATTTTTTCAGTAACTACGGCAAACTCACCAGCACACCAACTATCGGTTCGTCTTCCAAAGCATGTTCGTCTTGCCACAAGACGTGGGCGTAAAATTGGCCAATGATTGAAAGCGTCCTCTTCTGCTTAGTGGAGCAAAAAAAAACACATTAAAAGCTGAATTCAAGTTTGCCATTTGATACGTTTAAATTAGAATCCACAGAATCATAATGATAATAATGATAAGGGTATTTTGTAACGTTGTTTGAATGCTACATGGCCACAATGAAACCCTGTTCTACATACTGCAACCTATTGAACGTCACTATATAAAGTGTAAAATATTCTGATGGTTGGTTAATAGTTTTGAACTGTTGTTCTCAAGTCATGTCTTAGCAGTAGATGCAGCATTCAAGTTTTCTCCTCATCTGTTGGCCAATATTGAGTCAATATTCCTGACCTACAGTTAGGTGACTGATCAAATCCCTATCATCTTCTCTTTCGATTAACATGAATGCTATTGCCTGCTAAGGCAGTCCATAGTCAAAATTGTTGCATTGGTGTCCCTACCATATCCAATGGCTTTGGGATGGACCTCGTCAAACTGGTTCTCCCCTTGAAGTCATCCCACAGAGGCACAAAGGTGCTCATCTGTTTCAAACAAGCAGTTAATTAATGAAACTGAATGGTGTTAATTTACTTGTTTCGGGAGAAGGCAATAGAGTTGAAACATAAGAGTGTTCCTCTTCAAAAACAACTCTGGGAAAAAGGGTAGTATAAGAAGAAATGTGATTTTTTTAAAACAGTCTCTCCATAAACAGCTGAACTAAAATATTGTCAAATCTAACGATGTTGAAGATAACGTCCTGACAAATGCCGAGCAAATTATGACAACAGCCGAATACCCTCCTGACCTGTTGGTCTTGAGAATGCTGTGTCTTTCCCATCTGGGATGCGGAGGGTGGGGCACTGTCGGCAATGCCGGGTGTGACCGAGTCCCCGTGGAAGATGTGCTGCTCGTTGTCCTTCTCCAGTACGGAGTACCGACTGCGAATGCGCTTGCCGGCCGGGTCGCCGGCGGGCAGCTCACCAGACTCCAACAGGGTGGACGACAATTTCAATGTTGGCGGAGGGTGGGGTTGGAGTCCTCTGTGTAACAAAGGCATTTTCACATCATGCACGTCTCTAGAATACAGCATGTCCCAAAACTGACCGTATCAACAGAGGCACTTAAGACTGAGTTTGTACAACTTTTCAGTATAAAAAAGTTTTTTTAAGTGCATTTGGTTTCCAGTCCATACTCGCTCTCGCGGGTTTTCGTCGGGTACTCCGGTTTCCTCCTGCCTCTAAAACTGGACCTTCTTCCTAACTCCGTAATGTGATGCTGATTAATAAAGTGTATGAATAAACGTACAGTTATTGGCACAAATAGCCTGAGTTGCTGAAAGCGCCATTAAAACAAAACAACAACAACATAGCTCTGTCAGCATCTGATATGAGATCAAGTGGTAAGAAGTGATACGCATGTTTTTATTTTGGTTTAGATTTATTGATCAGACCAGGAAGTAGCACAAATATCTCTGAATCACAGAAAATAAGATGACGTAACAAATATCATACAATGTTCTCTTTGAAATCATGTATCAAAATTTTAAATAATGCTGGTTGACATTCTATATTTAGAATGGACTATATTTGCTTGACCATTTCGTCAAACAAACCGTTCCTTTTATGCATGTTAAAATGAGGTCGATTTGGAAACTCTCGAATGTCAACCTTTTTGTTTTCCTGAGAGGGCGACTTACGCTTTGTGCGTTCTCTCCATGGGAATGCGGACCCCCGGGCGAGACAGCTTGATGTGACTACAGTTATGGGGCAGCATGATAACCTTCTCCCCACTCACTTTGTGTGGACATAAAACTGTCTGATGAACAAACGAGAGAAGTTGCAAACAAAACTGAAACAAAACACTCTCAAATTCTCCTGCACGGTGGGTTTAAGTTTGGTTAACTAGCAGTATGTTACATATTAAACTAGTTAGTGATTGCATTTGCTGCACTCTGGAACTGATGGATGAAATATTTCAATTTCAAATTTAAAAAACTGAATGAAAACAAAACAAAGTCAACAAGAGACAGCTCAGTCTATAACGCTCTTGACTCTTGCAATCCGGCGGTCAGGGGTTCACCTGCCTTTCAAGCCAACAAGCACATAGACACCAATCAGAATCACCGAATGAAAACAAAGCAAAGTCAACAAGAGACAGCTCAGTCTATAACGCTCTTGACTCTTGCAATGAAGTGGTCTGAGGTTCACATCCCTTTCAAACCAACTAGCACAGTGACACCAATCGGAGAAACCAGCGGCGGCAGTTATACCTTCTCCCCGCAGCTGGTGCAGAACTTGGCATCCTTCAGCTCGTGCCAGGTCTTCCGCTGGTTGGTGGTGGTGTAGATCATGACACTGTACTTGCTCAGGATGGACTCCTGGGGAACAAAGGGGTCCATCTCGCTGCTCAGGAGGTCCACGTTCACAAAGTTATCCGTCACCGACAGAGCAGACTCTTATCACAGATTTAAAAAAAACAACAACAATAAGTTCTAGAAATCAGAGGGAAATCAATTTTTTTTTTCGCAATAGGTACTTGATTCCTCAACAAAATAAGACTCAACACTTACTGTCAATGCTACGTCATTAATCAACAAAGTTTGATGCTACTTCAAAATCATCAAAGTTAAACAGTGAACAGCTATGCCCTTTGGTCCAGTTTTGTCGTTATGGCATCAAGAACAGGCAACTTGTGGATGTCTTTGCCCTCCGCCCCTTTTCCCTCCAGTCACCGCGCCCCTGCCCCCACCTTTTCCGCTCGTGCTGGTCGCCTTCTCCTCGCCGTACCGGTAGCCCCCACCTTCCAGGGAGCTGCTGTCCCCGGGCTCCTTGAAGGCCACACTGCGGGCCCGGCTGGGCGTCTTGGCCGCCTCGCCGGTGCTCCGCGTCTTCTCCGCCTGCTGCTGCTCCATCTGTTGTTGGATGGCGTCCCTGTGCTGCCGGATCATGTCCAGCTCTGTGTTCAGGGCTGTGATGGTTTGCTGGAAGTGATCTTGAGCAGTGCTAAGCTGTTCACATGCATAAAAATGCATCATCCATCCATTAGTGCCACGGTGACAGTTGCAGGTGACCTTGCTTTGCAATCACTCATTGATCTACTGCCCTCCTAGGGAACCACTGCCCTCCTAGGGAACTACTGCCCTCCTAGTCAGTCAATATTTGAATATATCATACCTCCATATCTTTTTCAAAGTATCAGATTTTTTTCCAGAATCACATTTCAAATTCTGACAAACTCCCTTCCCTGATTTCCCAGTGCCTACAAATAGGTAGTTCTGAAATGTCTTCAGGATACAATCCTAGGCAGTAGAGTGGTATATATTATATATATAATATCATGGAAATATTTCTACAGTTTATGCCTTCAAGTCCAGCCTCCATTATTTTATTTTATGAGAATCACATCCTTCATTTGACAAATGGCTTACACTGCCATTAATTACTTTCAACTGTCCCCTCATCACCATGCAATATTTCTACACTATTGCCCTCCACGTCGGTCAATATTCACCTATCACATACCTGTGTGTCCAGCCTCTCCAACTCCATTTCCTCCTCGTCGTACTCTCGGTCCAGCAGGGCACCCTCGGCAGTGTCCCGCAGGACCTTGCACTGCAGCTCGGACTTGTGGGCCTCCAGGAACGACTCAAACTCCTCAATGGTCTGGTTCTGCACCTCCAAGAGCTGCCGCTCCAGCTTCTTGGCAGCATCAAAGTTGGTCAGCAAGTGGTTCTGCCATCCAAAAGCACAAGGAAAACACTGACTGGGTCCATCTCAGAGTATTACAAGTAACCTCAGCATTAAGATCTATAAGATTCACTTTTGTAGCCCCCCCCTCCTTTCACCAACAGACAGAGCTTTTTATCTGTCTTCTTGTCGTATGACATCTGACCTTTTTGTTAGCCAAGACGGATCTCCTTGATTTCCGGGATGTGTACTTGTCCTCTTCAATCTTAGCATTGAAGGCTGTCAAACAAAAAAAAACCGAGAAGTGAAATTCAACCATCAAGGGAGTATTTGATACTCCATTCCTGTAAGGTGAAACGAAGTACATGTACATGTAACTCAGTGTTCTTGAGTATATGTCACTCCTTTCATTTTAATACCAAAACATTTTCGATACTCTTACAAAAACAACACATGGGACCTTCAAGTGTTCCCACTTGCAATGCCCATTTGAGAATGCCCAACTGAGAGAGTCCGTCTCTGCGGATACACCAATACAGAAATTTGGGAAAACGGTGCCAGAAATGAAGACGGTTTTCACGGGGAAGTTCTTGGAGATGTGCACGGCTGCTTGCAAGGTACACCACGAAGGCAAAAGTACGGTGATGAAAAATTAGGCCTGATTACCGTCTTGCAGGGCGTCATAACCATTTTTGTACTGATTCAGGAATTCCGTCTCCTTTTCAAGAGTTGCGACTCTCTCTTGCAGTTTGCGTTTCTGAAACTCCAAATTTCTTCTCTCTCTGTCTGTGTCCTCGGTCAGCTCTGTCAAGTCTAGCTTCAGTCTTTTTGAAAAAAAAAAACAAAATCATGATGCAGTTTTTGACGATTTCGGTTTGGCTTAGGTTGGATTTGCCCGAACTTATTTCACTTGAACCGTGAAATGTCCAAAAAGTTTGAGCAATTCGTAATCTCAAAAGCAGGGGACCACTTAAAGAGGCGCTCTTATTGAACTGTAATGGGACTTCAAAATTAGGAGTGTGTGAAAAATGTAAAAAGACTCCTTGATCAAACTTGTTACGTAGTCTCTTTAATGTCTTGAGCTTCGCTGTGGATAGGTTCCACTTCTGAATCCTAGGAGTGTGATTCTGTCACAAGAAAAATGCCTGTAGCGAAGCCTCTAGAGTTTATTCAAAGCTATGCCTTAGCACCTCAGCCAACAAGCTCATAGCTAAACATTGGACCGATGAGCGTTTTAGGAGAGTCACTTCAGACATTAGGATGGTTGGCTCAACTTAATATCTGTATTCAAGTAAATTCATGTTTTTACTATCTTTAGCAAATGCTTAGCTACGGTTGGCACAAAATGACTGAAAGTTTTTCTTTGCTCCCTGGATGGGATGCCAGTCCACAGCAGGGTGCTGCCTACTCTGTCCTGGATGTGGAAAAGGTAATTAGGGTAAAGGGGCTTGCCTAAGGACACAACGTATGACCAGCAGATTTGAACCCCTGATGTTCTGACCACTGGTCACAGACCTTACCCACTGGGCCATATTCCCCCAAGGATTGAAAAAAAAAATGGTTTTATGTATTAAAGTCAGGGGGAAAGAGGTAAATGTCATCTTCTCACTTCTCAATCTCAACCTCACTGTCTTCGACGTTCTGTAATGCCTGCACTATTTCGTCCTTCAGTTCTGCAATCTCGGTGCTCTGAGAGGCTACGACTGCTGCCGTCTCCTCGTGCTGCTGCGTTTTGTCGGCAAGACGCTTCTCGAGAATCTCGATCTCATCCCGCAAGTTGTCTGCCTCCTCGTGTCTGCGTGCCACAAGACAGAAAGTAATTGGTCACCTCTCAACTTGTGAACAAAATTCCTCTGTTACCAGTCTTCAGGCAGTCACCACTTAACAAATTTGATTTGCACTATCACAGAAAGTTTTGCCACCTCATCTCGTCCTTAAAACGAACCAGAAGCCAAAACACCTGATAGGGCTGTGCCAAATATCCAAATAGTTGATCAATTATCGAATATTCAAATATTATTTTTAAAATTTGAATATTCGCATGCAAAATTCATGATATGGTAAACAGAATTTTTTTTTCATTTTAAATGAGAACAACTGCACTAAGAAGGCTTGCTTCATGCATATTCAAATGAAAAGTGACAGAAATCTTACAACAATTCAAAAAGTAAATTATTCATTAAAAAATTTAAAATGAATAGAAATTTTCAACAGGACAAGAAGTATTGTTCATCTCTAAATCTTGCTAAATCATGGCTGGAGATACTCCCTGATGTAAGACACCATTATAGTGATTATAATGTACAATTGTGTGCATTATTGCAACTGATTATGTATATGTTTTTTTCATCAACAATTTGCCTATTGCTACACTGAATATTCAGATATTTAACGGAATTGAAGGTCGAATATTCAAATAGTAAATTATTCAAATTGACTCAACCCTAACGGCTGATGATACTTTCACCATTTTGAAAGTGAGGTCTGTTTTTTTAAGCTCTTTTGCCGATACAGGTATTGGCTGTGACAAAATCGTCAATGGGTCCGGACGCTGTAAGGAATACATGCAGGGTACTTCATACCTCTCAGCGTAAACTCTCTGGACCAGTGTGAAGTAGGGGATCCGCTGGATAAATGTCCGGTCTTCTTCTTTTCTGTCGGTGATGACGTTGGTCGCTGTGTTGTAAGGTGTGCGTGTCTCCTTGGAGCTCGTATACTGGTCACTGTAGACCGCCTCTGTTGATGAACAATTTGTTTTTAGGTAGAGTCAAAAAACAGTGTCTTGTCTGCAATTTTTACAGCATGGACTTTTTATACCATAGCAAATTTTTCCAAGATTGAGATGGATTTCCGGGCTAACACTTCTCTGAAATTACTCTAGATAAAGTATGGAGCTTTCACTTTCACTGTTTTTTAACCTTGATGTTATGACTACATGTGTTCAGGAAATAAAAAGTCAAATTTAACAAATGTAGAAACAAAAACAAAAAATTGTGTGGATTTACTTCTTTTTGTTTTTAGAAATTTTGTTCAAATTTTAAGCAGATTTTTCTGATGGAAGATTTTTTCTGACATCAAAAATTTTCTTTATGAACCGCGTAAGTTGAAGAACCTGACATTTCTATGCTGATTTTTCTGATGGCTTTTAAATCTCACCAAATATTTCATCTCGCACCATCTTGAGAACATTTCTGAAGATACCAAGCTGGGGTAATACTTCGTCAAAGACTTCAAAGAGGACCTGGGCTCTCTCGGCTGACAGCTCCTGCTTCTCGTGTTGCTTCACCTCCAAGAGGCGCGTCTCAAAGATCTTGGCTGGGTGCAGGAAAAGGAACGGGGGAGGGGGCAAATTATTGGAGGATTTGACATTGGTAGTGGATATTTGACCACAAACCTACCCGTACTGCGTTTACTGTTTTATCAGCACGGCACGAGGTGGACACGCAGGGTAAGTTTTTTAATTTTGCATGCACACAGAGCCAATCATTATGAGTGCATAGGCCTATGTGAGGTTTCGATTCAACCTGACACAAAGTATTGTTGTAATGATCCTTTTTATGTCGCAGCCTGAGGCTTAATGGTCTGCACCCATTGCGATGACTGACCTGGTGTCAAAATACTTGTAAGACATAAAAACTATATGCCCTAGGTAGGCCTATTACGAGATAAAAATCATGAAGATCTGGCATGGAAAACCTGCACTGTGTATATTGGAGAATCAAGGGGAAGATTCCAACCCCCAAAGCCAGCTGGCTTAGTGTTAAACCTAATCATGCAATTTGGCCCTGGCCTCTACTCTAGGCCCTGTTAGAAATTATTGAATTTTTTTTAACTTTTACTTAGGCCTATGCGCCTTACAAGTTACAATGGCGACAAACAGAGACTGAGCATTTGCAGCAGCAACGGACATAATGGAGAATTGATGCTTGTTAAAGGAAAAAAATCCTTACGATGTTGCCTAAGCCATGTGGGCATAGGCTGCAGTGTAAGTCGTAGAGGTTATTTAGGCCTAACTCTGTGAACTAACGTTACGTAATCCATGCACCATTTCATTTGTCATGTTTGTCGAGTAATTGGCCGGGCTTTCCCTACTTACCAGGCGAATAACCATCCAAAACACTTATTTTTCCTCCATCGAGTTCCATGATCCTTCACGATAATTACCAGAATGATAGGAAACAAAGTAAAGCTAGATTTGTTTTCTGAAAAAAAATCTTTCTTCCCAAGCACACCACCCAGCAGAGCAGTTGCTATAAACACAGAGCCACCTCCGTCTAAAAACTGAATGTAGCCCCCTCAAGAGGTAATCAAATGTCAAATCGAAAGTATATGGCCCTTTTGCTCCCATTAGTCAAAGAGGGCGCTATTTACAAATAACAGTATGCGCACTGTGACCGTAACGCGCACCAAAAGGCTAGGGTTGAATTCTATATAAAAAAAAAAAAAACACGGCTCAAAATCAGTGAGAAATAGCGCGCGACCGCCTGGTGACGGTCGGGAAGACAGTGACTTCGTTTCATTGAAAATTGAAGATAACGACCAGTAGGACAAATTTCTTTTCAAGTTTACGAGGGTTAGCCAAGCAATTTTTTTAACCTCACTTCCCTAAATCCCCCGTTAGCCAAATTGTAGAAAAACTCTGCACTAGTGGACTAAAATAATTTATTTAATCCAGCTTTCGTGCAAACAGGCCGACGAGTTGGAGGTTTTCGTGAACAAAATACCCCAAGCTGGGCGCCAAAAGTCCCTGCTTAATTTACAGGAAAAGGCTTACAAGCGGTCCCGATCACGGAACCTCTGAAAGTAACGGTTCACGACATATTGAACACGGGCAGGAATCTAGCGAATTTGATGCCGATGGTCGATTGTGCCTGTTTAGAGATGTTTCTGGAAAACCAGTTTGAGCTTGGATTATTATCTCATACTTCGGTTGGGTACCTAAACCAAACAAACATGTCCATACACATAGAACCCTTGTGTATAGGTGGAAGGCCCTCCATTGTCCATTGCCTGAACAAAATAATTCCCTGCATCTGATCGGTGGATCGCTGACGGCATGTCATCCAACTCGGGCGTTTCACAGTGGTGAGCCTCCAAGAGTTTGCAACGCATTGGCCAATAACAATGCAGGGAATCTGTCGACCCAATGTGCGTTTGAAAATCGTCGACAAATTTCGCGACTATTGTGAATCGCCCGTATTCGAAAGGATTACCAGACAGGAATTACGGTACACAGGAGACGAAAGTACCCAGTCAGGATTTATTCAGACGTTTTACAAAGGTTTCATTTAAATTTCGTTCGTACGGCGCCAAAAAAGTGAACATTTCATGTTTCATTTCACTTGGTTCTGCCTTGCATTTTATTTTCCACCTTATGAAAATTATTTTTACAATCGCACTTACAAAAATTCATCATTTACATACATGATAAAGATTAGTTCTGAGCATGTTTGGCTCTTGTTCGAAGTTCACTTCTTGCCAATATAGTGTTTTATTTTATTTGCTATTTACATTAGCGGATAAGAGAGCCAAGTCCGGACTCAGTAGGATCCGCTCAGTGTAGTTATAAATATTATTTATCAGACTACAGTAACAGGCGCTCCGGGCCCATTCTGTCCATGATAATTTTATCGTATGCCTATTTCTTGTCTGTACTGTGCAGAAGTAACACCCAAAAATATAATTATCACAGCACTAATAATAACCGCAGCCATAACAGCAACGTTGTTTCACAGTGACGTACATAGAACTGTTCTTCCTGCAAGCCAACTGACCTTTCGTACTCTTTAAAGACACGGCAAGGTAAATGACAAAACTGACGAATTTTCGGCAACCCTCATCGACAATTTAAACAGCTGAACTTTACCCAAAAAAATGTGTCCAAACATGCACAAGAGAGTACTACAGAAACTCCTACATCCCCCTAAAAGTCTCCGAACGACACATAAATGCAGTGACTGCGATGATGCAAATAAAAATGATACTGGGGAACGATTTATTAGCCTTCAGTTTTACTGTCTTGTCCCAAGACACTGATCATTGCCGGCCACTTATTCAAACCTCGACGAATAGGGGCGATTCACAGGAGTGCTCCTCCAAGACTTTGCAACGCGCCGGCCAATCACGATGCGAGAAATCTGCCGACCCAATGCGCGTTTGGAAAGGGTCGACAGATTTCGCGCATCGCGATTGGCTAACGTGTTGCAAACTCTTGGAGGTGCACTATTGGGAATCACCCGCGTTGCTGAAGAGGCGGCTTACATTATCAAGAATATGCTACAGTCTCCGGTTGAGAGTAAAAGAAACGGAAGAGAACATTCAAAATGATGTTCCACTCGGGGAAAGATGGGTTTTCTACGCGGCATTCTGCTCAACTACAGCCATTACTTTCTAACCTTTACTAAATAAAGTGCGTTGAAATAAAACTCCTTGCTTTTATGAACTTACAGAAACGGTTAGCAATCACCTGTATGATAGTTTAAGAAACGCGCCAGTTTTCGCATTTTGATGGGGACAAACGGATTTAGCAATTTAAATGGCAACGCGCTGGTGTTGATCTGTTTCCCCCTTACACTGTCGAATAAGTTTCGTCTCCAAGCTGAAATATTTAATGTAAAAAAACACGCAGAACAGCCGACCATGCAAAAAAAAAAAAAAAAAAAAAACTTCGTACCCTCAGGTTGTTGACTGATTTTGAATGGTCGAGCTGACTTTACATGTGCGAATGAAAAGCTTATCTCCCCTGCCGAATGCCTCGCTGTCTTGTCTGGTCCCGCGGCTCTCGTTCGTCTCCGATCCGTTGGGCTTCCCGAACCGACATCTGCACAGCTTAGGCAAGTACATAAAGACCAGGGTCAGATAGCCGTTGGAGATAAAAGCAAACGACCAAGTGGCCACCTTGAGTAGCATCTCGTAGGCGGTGACGTAGACCGGCACGGCTACCAAGCAGACGAGAACCATGGAGTATACGCTGATGGCGATGAACTTGGACTCGTTGTAGTTGTCTGGCACCTTTCGGGCCTTGAATGCAAAGTAGCAGCAGAGCATAATGAGCACGAGGTTGTAGCAGCCGGACACCAGGAAGTTGTAGCTGAGTGGACAGAATTGTTCCCAGGGATACCAAGAGTGGACCTGGGGCTCAGGTGGGTTCACCAAAGCAGCCATGGCCGATATTATGAGCTGAAGAAAGTCACACAAAAAGGGAAGCATTTATAAAAAGGATACGTATCAGTGAGATTTTCTTGAAGTCAAAGCTGCATACTAGTATACGGTACTTTACGGTACACGATTTACAACCCTTTTCATGAATTAATTAAGTGACTTAAACCTAACACAGAAGGGAATTTCAAAAAAAATGTTCACATTTGAAGGTATAGATACTTTTATCATTGCATTTTATGCTACACTTAAGCGGAATAAGAGTTAATATTGCTGATTTCAGGTCAAATTGCTAATAAGAAATTGTTAGCTGAGGCAAAGACTTCTTGAAAGTGATGCATGCTCTTTAGGTCCTTAAATCTTGTAAATATTTTGGGGTATGGTTAAAAATCAACACGGAAGTTTAGTGAGAGAGATGAGATGAGACGAGAGAGATCACTGTTGTCAAGCCCTGGGACACGCCAACCTCGTAAGCAATGGCTCCGATCCGTAACATCAAACTTGAGTTTTTTCCCGTGTACGTGACCTAAGCGTACGCTCGGTCACGTTTTCTGAGGTGGAGATAAACTTGAGCGTTTTGGCCGTTCATTTACACGGCTCATGTCAATACCGTGACTTACTCAGACAGGATAAGCATTTTGTTTCAAAACAAATTTGTTTGAAAGAATTCCGTTTTCTACATTTTCGCTCATTTTTCAAAGCTTAAACAGGAACATGTTATGAACATAAAACAATCAATATAAATATTTTTTCATCTATTTTAGTTTGACAAACTTCTGGACGGAGTTTCAATTGATGCAACCACATCAAACCTGTCTATGTGGACGGCATAAGTAAGTCACCCACAATTCATTTACTTTGAAAAAAATTCTATTTTTAGATTTTTTACTTCAGCTGTTTGCGTGGTGACTCGTACGATTTACACTAGGGTTTCGATCTTCACTCCACACACTATTTGTTATTAGGTGCTCTCTGGAAGGCCAAGTCCACGGTCGCACACTGGCCTGGCATTTGGGGAATTCGAGGAAACCGGGGACTATGGAATTACACGTGAAGAAAACAAAGGAATACAGGATTTGAATCATTTAATTGTAACCATACCTGGACATTTGAACCCCCAAAACTTGACCTGTAAATATAACTCTGTATTTTTTGAGACAGTTACATTTGGACTCTTTCCGCCCGTCTTCCTTTGCCTTGGCGTCCTTAAACTAATAATTTAAGCGGACCTCCTTAATAGATGGCCTGTCATTAAAGTATGATAAAGCCTCAGTGAATGATCAGCAAGAACAATTCGGAGAGGAAAATGCACTGCATCTCCTTATCTCAGTGTCAGGTGTAATGTACAACCGTTACTTATAATGCAATATCTCATAACATTGTTGCAGCTCGTTGAATTGTCTTGTTTGGTCACGCCCAGTTGTTTCGTCCTACTCACCTGAATTCCTATTAATGATAGCGCCAGGGCCAGTTGATATTTCGGTGAGATCAGTCGGGGTTTCTTGAGCGTCTTCCGGCCGGCTTTGAAAACCCGATAGATGCGGTTGGCCTTCAGGAAAGACGTGGCAAAGAGGATGGCGATGGAGCAGGACAGCATGACTTCAGTCACCGCGCAGGAGGCGACGGTGGGATAAGCATAGAGAGAAAATATGGTGGAGAACGTGAGTGTGACGCCGAGAATGTTGACTGCCGTCAGCTCACGGCTGCTGGCCTTGATCAGCGCATGGTCCCGGTAGTAGAACAGTCCTGCACTGGTGACAGCGACCAAGATCACACCCAGGCTGGCGAAGAGTACCGTGATCAGAACTATGGGGTGCGTCCAGCTGACCCCACGTGGGATGATGTCTTCGCAGACCGACCGGTTCTCGCTGGGAGTCTGGCGATCCGGGCAGGTGAGGCAGTCGGTGCCGTTGACGATCTGCTCACTAAGGCACGGCGTGCAACCCGTGCAGCACCTGGACGGCAGGGGCACAGGGACAGATCCTGGGCTGCACCGCTCTACGCAGACCGAACTGGGCGGCCCGTCCCAGCCGCTCTCCCACTGCAGCCTGGAATAGTTCAACCGTAAGCGGTTCTGCCTCTCAGGGATGGTAGTGTCCCAGTCTCCAATGTCAACCTGAGCGTACTTCCCATCCCGAAATTGAATCTGCTTCAGCAGGTATCGGCCCGTGGGTTCCCCGTCGCCGTCGAAGGCAAACTGCCCGTGGCCCACATCGAAGCTGACATTGTGCAGATAATCCATCAGGACCCTCCCGTCTACGGGGCAGTCCCTCGACCCTCGACACTCGGCATTCACGTAGGCGTCCAGCGCGTAAGCAAAGGCGTAGACGCTGTGGACGACGGCGACATCATGCCCCTCACCCTTAACGGGACACTGGCTCAGGCTTGTACAACCTGGGTGGGAGTCGAACCACTCTTGCATCCAGAGACTGACTGCGGTGAATCGCGAATCCTTAGAGACCATGTAACAATGGAGACCAGGGACGTCTGCTTTGTATAGACGCACCAGGATGCTTCCAGCAGCAACTGGAGCGAGGACGGGGTTGCCGGTCAGATATCCCCGCGGCCAGGCGTCGGTACCAATCCAGACGATATGCCGGTCTAAATTTGAGTCTGAAACGGCGCTCAGCACTTCCAGGACGAGGTCGGAGTGGGCGAACATGACGATAACGGACAAGTCTTTCAGTGCTCGGATTTTCCCCAGGAGCGCTTCGAGTTCGGCGCGGGATGGCCGAACCTGCAGGCGCTGCGAAAACCCGAAGCACACCCCTCGCTCGTAAGCGCGGGCGAGTAGTTCCGTACCGCCGTTGACGCCGTACGAGTCCATGGAGGAGATCAGAGCCGTGTAAACCCAATCGAAGGCCAACAGAATATCGAGAATGGCTTCGACTTGGTAATGGTCCGGCGGCACGGCCCGTAGAAAGAACGGAAACCGGTCGGAGTTCCCGAGTTCTGAGCTAGTTCCGTAGACGGATATGACCGGTAGCTGACTGAGAAACCCTACCTTAGCTACGTAGATGCTGAGAGCGCTGTTAGCTGGGCCGACTATTCCAATGACCTGTCCCGTGTCTGTCTCATTCCGTGTCACGGCAGGACTCCCTTGTGCAATCTTCAAAGCACTCCACAGTGCAATATCTTCACTGTCGCAGTCGTCGCGGATGTAAAAACCCAGTTTGAAGTCCGGCAAGATGTCCAGCCGCCCGTTCACCTGCTGGATGGCGAAGATCATGGTCTCTTCCCACACGAGAAACTCATCGGAGAGGTTTGCCCTGCACATCGCCCCATGGAACGAAAACAGACCGCCAAGAATGAAATCCCCCGGCTGGAAATAATACTCGCGTGTTTCTTTGTGCGGCACAGAGACATGATAGGATAGCGACCCCGGCATCAAACAAACGCACAGTACAACTGCAATCATTTTCGGGACAAGTTCTGTCGTGCTTCGAGAAGCAGCTATGATCGCGCTGTGTGTAGTCTAACTCGGTAGCAAGCAATGGTAAACCTCACTCTGTGCAGCATTACTATCTGAAGTCAAGTACGCACTGGTATGGCTCATCATGTTCAATAATCATTAACAATGAAAAAACCGACAAGTGCTGGTTACTGGTTCGTTGATAAGGCAATCGGTTGATACAAGACCGAGGGTGGTTGGACTACATAATCATCTCACCTGATGGAGGAGCCTGCTTCGAGGTATATTCGTGCCAGTTAACTGAGGTCGCACAAATGCCCAGGCTGCGCAATTAATCTTTGTCGATAAAGGAGGCGATACTTACAGCCAAACAGGGTCGAAATTTAAGGAGTTCGTAGGATTGTCACGTTCGCGTTGTCAACAGAAGAGGGGCACAGTCAGCGGACGATGGCAAGAACACTGCGTACTACGTTTGTTACCGGGAAACCTGGGATTACATGTGCATTGCAGAATTCCGAATGGCTTGCGTTTCGATGGAGACATGGTCGTGAGATGGAGTGTTGGGGGGCGGGGTAGAAGGAGGTGGTTGTCGGGATGATGTTCGTTCGGCTTCTAGACCTCTCTTTTGTTTGCAAACATTGGCTGCCAATTTTTGCACAGGTGGCCAAAGTTCACCAGAAGTTGATAACTACTTTTGCCTCAAAATACGCGTAGGCATTATTCTTTGCATGCATTACAGAGATTTTATGCTGACATTAAATTCTATACATAATTTACGGTAACATTTACATGAGATTTTTGAATTATTCTTTTGGATTTGTTCTGCAAGTTTTGGTTAGAGCTGTGCTTGTGACGTTTGCAAAGAAAGGTAAGTGCGACGTCACTTTCGTTAAACCACGCCCACTGCGCATAGAGTTACGTGGAAGCATAGAAATAGACTGGTTCCCTTCCCACACGTAGTCTCCAGACGTCTTACAGACATCCTCCGAACATAGGGACCGGTAGCAGGTAATGAATCCAGCAGAATCCAGCTGTCTGAATGTAAATGAGGAAACGATGCCCACTCAATGCAAAAATCAAGCTAGAGCTGACAGCCTATTTTGCTTTTTCTTCTTTATTACCCCCCCGAAAAAAAAACTTCACCAGAAATTGTTCACATATCTAAAAATTTAACACAATAACCACTGATTTGAAAAAAAATTCCGTAAAATGATTTTCGGTGAAAATCATTGAACAATATTACCTTACTGGGATCGACAGAAGCGTAGCAAGGATAAGTACTAGTATTTCATTCGCTTCTCGCAGCCGGGGGGGGGGGTCAGGTTAGCGTAGCGGTTCAGTGCTTCCTTGCTTTGTACCAATGAGGCCCGGGTTCGAGTCCCGGCTGGGCCCAGGACTTAAGTACATTTGGTTTCCAGTCCGTACTCTCTCGCAGGTATTCTCCAGCTACTCCGGTTTCCTCCTGCCTCTAAAAATGGGACTTCTTCCTAACTCCGAAATGTGATGCTAATTTAATAAAGGTATAGTTATTGGCACAAATGGCCTAAATAGCTGAAAGTGCCATTAAAACAACAACAACAAGCTTCTTGCTGTAACGTTATTGGTCTGACAAAAATGTCCATATTCAGCATCGAAATTGCCAGGGCTAATCTCGCACGTTAAACCCCAGCTACCTTCCGGTCCCTATATAATAGGGACTGGGACAAGTCAACCATGGAACCGGAAGTTAACGCACAACTTAAATGTTTGTCCAATAAGAGCTTGCAATCAGTAGTGCGAAGTGAAGAAGTCACTTACAAACCGAATTGACAGTGCATTATAAGCGCCCTCTAGTGGACTGAGCTCGTCAGCTTCTGTTACACTCATTCAGTTCGTAGTTGGTGACCTTAAATCTAAATCAAGTTCCTGAACGATCCAACGGGTAAACCTTTCACGTGGGCTTGACACCTGCGCGCAACAGTAAGCTTCCCATAGTCCTTTGCAATTTCCCTTTGCAATATATCGTGAGAGCTAGATCAGCTGCCACCAGCGAGCTTGGATAGTGTGGTTAGCAAGAGTGAACCTTGATTCGTGTTCCACAAAAAAGTGTGTGAGGTCAATAACCTTTTAGAGTTAAAAGAAGTCGTGGTATCCAAGTGTCACCCGGAGATGTTCTTCGCTTTCACTGGCCGTGCTCAACTTGAGGCGTTCCCCAGCAAACACATAACGTCACCATGACGTTACTGGAAAGTTAAAGTTTGGTCGCGTTAGACAATGACGTTGTCAGGACGTTACCGTAACGTCAAATTCCGACCTTGACTTGCGACGGTGGGAAATTTTTTTTGACGACGTTATGCTAATGTCTTTTAGATAATGGTTTTCTAACGTCGGGCAACTAACATTATTTTGACGTCTCAACAACGCCATTTTAAACCTTATTTTGCGAAGTTTGGAAGACGTTTTCCGATGACGTTATCTTGACGTCTTTTAAATGTTTGCTTTTGACGTCGGGCAACTAACGTTATTTCAACGTCACCACAACGTCATGTTTATAACTTATTTTGAGAAGTCAGGAAGATTTTTTATGACGTTATCCTAACGTTGCTGAAATGCTTTGTTGCTGACGTTTTTTTCTGACGTTATTTGAACGATTAGGAACTTCAGAATGTAACGTTACATTGTTATGTTCAGGAAATCTTACTTTTATTCGAATTGCCTGCAGCCATTTTGAATTAAACATTTATTTACGGAAATATTAAATGAAATTAGAAACAAAATCAATACCCAAACCCATGGCTATAATTCAGGGTATACACAAAACAAAATAATATAGAATTGTACATGTTTTTCGAGAATTTTTTTTAACTGTTATTTATTATTTAACCGACATATATCGCCATTACCCGGCGTTGCTACGCTTTCTATGTGCAGTAGACACCTCAAATGGCCTGCTTGATATGCAAATCAACTGGACCCGGACAACAGCTGATTTGCATTGTCATGCTGACTGCGTGCCGGAGACCGCCAGTGTTCGTGTTAGTTTTTCCACTGCAAACGCGCATGTACCAGTTGTACACAACGGAGGCTGTGTTAGCTACCATAGCTCACTTAACGCGGTGTGGCTAATGACAAATGCCTTGATCAGGGCTACGCTTTCACGCGAAAAACAAGAAAACTGCAAGTTTAAAATGTGGAAACAAGTAGTAGGTCTATTTGTATTGTTTTGATATTCACCAAACACAAGCTTATTTTCATTAATGGTATTTTTAAAAAACGAATAACAGGTATTGTTTATGATCAGACGTGTGAGGTTTTATACTCCAGTAAGACCAAAAACCAAGCTAAAATCGTCACAGTATAGTAATGCAACTTCATTATTTAGTGCCCTCGAAATGACATTGACGAATGTGGCGATGCCATAGCGCCCTCACTCGTCCCTCGAAAAGTTCAATGCAATATTTATCTCTGCCGTATCATGTCTTTTACAGATAACAATGTTATGAGTGATCGATATTTTCCCCCAGTGATTTGACCCGTACGCGCCGAATAAATAAAAGTAATAGCCCAAACCAGATGCCTCCACGCAGCACGTGCAGTCTCTTTGGAAAAACAAATACCGTCGAACTCGGAGCACTTAACCCGATCTCCCGACGGGATTGACGTTCACTCGAGGAATGATACCCGCTACGTATTTGGCCAGTCAGTCTGACTTCCCAGGAATCGTTTTGGCATTCGTGGATAAGTGCAAAGGCAGTCCAAAGTAAGATGCGTGGCTCAGAAGATGGACAGCACTTGTGATGGACGCGGATGATTTCTGCATGGAGACTCCGCGCGGTGCATGACAAGAAGAGACAACTCGGAGATTTGGGGTTAATTGTTCGCCACCTGGGAATGTTACTCGTTTTCTGATGGTTAGTTTCTTTTCATTGGTAAGTTCTTTCATTTATTTCTATGCATCGTAAAAAATATACAAAAATCAACATTTTAAAAGTAAAAAGTTGTGAATGGTGAATACCACGCAAAGGTAGTGTCTATCAAGGCACCGTCCCAGAGAATACTTTAAATATTTGATTTGGTGATACAAATTACACTGGAATTCGTGTTTCCAGTTCGTGTTTTGGTAAATCATTTTAGGATTTAGGCCTAGTGCAGCATAATTTTCGGGTGGGGCAAATTAAAAAAAAAAAACCGAGCAGCTGGATGTATACAAATAACGGTTGCCAAATACGGGCGATTCACAATAGTGCGCCACCAAGAGTTTGCAACACGTTGGCCAATCATAACGCGCGGAATTTGTCGACCCTTTCCAAACGCGCATTGGGTCGACAAATTTCTCGCATTGTGATTGGCCAACGCGTTGCAAACTCTTGGTGGCGCGCTATTTTGAAACGGCTGTTTAAGTCTTTTCCATAAATAAGGACAAACGGAATAATACAATTTCTGTGTTAACACAGATAGATTTGGCCTTTACAATACGAAGCATGTATGCAAGTGACAACTGGTCAAAGTATAAATAATGCTTGCCATGTTGTGACTCGACACTGACTTGACACGCGCGTGAAACAACAATTTGGCATGCTTATTTCTTATCCTCCCGGAAATCAGGTTGACCGAATGGCCGCGGATCCGCCTAGATTCCTAGATGGCGCCATATACGTCCCATTTCACTTTCTACAAACTGATCACGAACCCTAATTATCAATGTTTGCCTTGGTCGTGCCAAATTATACCTGAGTGGAGCGCGGGATCCTATTCTGTTTAAAGTAAAACGTGTTAGCAGTATAGACCACTGTGCACGCATTCGACATCAGTGACCCGACAAAAGGTGTTCCCAACCGTACGTGTATCTATATGAAATAAAAGGGCACACAACAGTTTAAAGAAACCATACAATGCAAAAAAATTTTTTTAAACAGTTAAGGTGCATTGCTCCTTTTGTGTGCCACTGAACCTTTTTCCGCTTTCTGTTGTTTCATGGTATGGATATTTTAGTACCTTTGTCATTATCATGAATGGAAATTGAAACATTTGAGCAAACCTGTGATGCCGTCCGAGGGCAAATACTTCGGTGTTACAGCTATCAATTCTGCACTAAATTTTGCCCAAATGTCTCTGTCGTAAATTGTGTTTATTTTTCTGATTGGTTCAGTCATGACAGTAGCCAATTTTCTCACAAATATTTTCAGTGATCATAGTTCGGTTTCATAATATAAAAAGCCCCAAAGAGAAATATAACTTCCCTGTTGTGACGTCGCAGCAACGACGCCCTCTTTTGTCAGAAAAAGTAAAAAAAAAATTTAAAGGGACCCTTTTCATTGAGAGTAAACAAAAGCAGGCATCAGGATGTTTTTTTCATTTAAGTTAACAACTATACGTTACACATCAAGTCCCCTTTGAAGGCTTTTTCTTTGACGAGGTGCACCACATGAAACGAACCATAAATAAAAAAGCAAGCCAAGTGTCGGAATAATAAGTCCATAAATCAGCTTTATTTGGCTTGAGCTTGAGTTGAAGGTGTCTCATTGACATTTCCTTGAAAACCAAATCAGTCAATTTAAAACATTATACAAGAAACAACCGAGTACCTATATTGGCCAATGTTTATGTCTAGTCAAGCCCCGTCTGATTGCCGGTATGTGTCGTGTGTTGGTTCAAGCCTATATGTCAACTGTCAGTATTGATGAATAGTCAACATTCTGCCGTTTATTCATGATCAAAATAGCAATGAACATTTGCTATGGACTGACAATGAATAATTGAGATCTGCATAAATTCAGTTACGCGCGTGCACAGTGACTATAGATCCATGCCTACTGTCAAAATGTGGCATGACGACGTCCTTCGGTCTTAGATTAATCATGGTGATTCAGCGCCGCTAGTCCGTAGTTACCTGCATTTAGTAGCTCGTTCGACTTCGAGGCGACTTGGTTCAAATGAGTTTTTTGATGCCGTTACTTACCCACAACATTCCATGACCACCAGTCAATCCGATGGCAGACAACTCATTTTTTTGTCAAACAGCCGAGCTTTGGGGGATATTATCCTTTTGTATTTTCATGTCCATTAATTTGTTTAAATAGTGTACTTCAAATTTTACAAAGTCCTGACCAAGGAGAGGTACATGAAAGAAAATCTGGTTCAGCATGAGTCCGTTAGGTTACCTTAAAATAGATCAATTTAAGATTCTTAACTTAATAAAGATGCCAGAAATAACGGAAAAGCAGCCTCTAAATCGACAGTGTCGGAAGAGTGGCCGTCATCTAATAAAAATAAAGTTGTTGAAAAAGTTCTGCACTAGACCTAAAACTTAGTGACGTCATGGTTGTTAACATGAGCGCCTTTCAATTTGGGCTTCATGGATTTTGCCCAGCCTCACTGCCATGGTAAAACACACGTGGATACGTCTTAATGTTAGAGATCTGTTATTTTCCACTACTGCAACGCGTTTGGGAGCACCAGTTTGTATGGCTGAGGGCTGCCGATGGTTACAATGTCGCAGCATATGGGTTACTGGTTGTTGGCTTTAGTGATTAAGGAGAACGCGTATACCGTTCTTTGGCAACGGAATATTGCTGTTGGCTTTTATCGCACAAGTTCGCTTCTGTTCCCTAAATAAACGTTTATATCTGCTGATTGATTAAGAATCCGCCGACCTTTGGACCGACCAAGAGAACTGAGGGTGTGGGGAGTGCATGACAGCCTTCTACATGAGATAACCCAATTGGCTGACCATCTGGAAACACTTTCTTTTGTGATCCATACAATGTCGAGAAAAAAATGAGTAACAAACAAAAATACTGCTGACTTAGAGGGCCGGTGTGCATGAGCACGCAAGGCTCGCCGAAGACTTAGCAAGTTTAAACTTTCCGCAGTTGAACCGTGTTTTCGGAAGGATCCGCGACCATTCAGAGAGTAACAAAGCGTCATTAGAGCCTTGGTATACTGTGACGTAAACAGGGCCCGGGCTATCGCACCAAGACCAGCGAGTCCTTTACTGCATGTCAGGCAATCTGCCAGCAACAAATTTGCAGCGACTCTGAAATTTTCAGGTGGTTCTGAGGGTAGGAGGTGAGTTGGATGTGTCCCGCTTGCCTGTAATGTCGAGGTGCTACCTTGCAAGTTGTAGTGTTTAAAAAGACGTTTCCCAAACTGATACACTGTTTTCATTACGAATACGTGTGTATCTTCCAACCACCAACAAACCATTTTAAACTTCTTCTCAGATCCGTCGAAAATCTCGACGGAGAGAAGACGTGACCTTGCTTTGCACAAACGGAGGCGCCTCTGTATATATCGAATATCTCTGTATATATCGAAGGTTGTAGCTGAGGGGATAAGGTTGTAGCTGAGGGGATAAAGGTTGTAGCTGAGGGGATAAAGGTTGTAGCTGAGGGGATAAAGGTTGTAGCTGAGGGGATAAAGGTTGTAGCTGAGGGGATAAAGGTTGTAGCTGAGGGGATAAAGGTTGTAGCTGAGGGGATAAAGGTTGTAGCTGAGGG